CAGTCTTGGTTTCCATTAGAGAGAGTGCATCCCCGATCATTACCTTTGTCCGACAAAGGGGTTGATCCTGTCATTATGATCACCCACTCAAATGAATTCTCAGACTGTCCCAACATACCCAGGTTTTGACCCCCGCTAAGGATCTCACTGATTGGCATATCAAAGATAGCTCAATCCGACACCTGCTGCAGTATCATAATCGAGTCTAGGGGTCAGGTGTAAATTTCCAATTTTGCCCATCAATCACCAAGGTCCAAGGCAATACTGGAAATCTGGTCCGGTTCAAAGATTCAATTAATCCTACACTGCATGTGCCTTGGGTCTCACCTTGGCGGAGTGGCGGTTGAGATAGGCCACCCAAATATTTGATAGCACACCAGTGTCAGCCTTGGCAGGATAAATCTCCCAAGACTTATCCAACAGCTGTGAACATTCTAAACTAACACGAGTCTCATAAGTGTCCAGTTTAAGGGTATTACACAGAAACACACCAAAGGAACATGAATCAAATATGTACTTTATTCATTTACAATAAATTCATAATGTACATTATTCATTGGAGGTAAGGGCGTATATGTACTTTATTCATTTACAATAAATTCATAATGTACATCATTCTGATTGGAGCTAAGGGCATACAACTGTCTAACACCATTTGCATTTTTTTTCCAATTTATACAATTTCCTATATTTTTATTTGTAATTTTTGTTTTTTCTATACTTTTTGTTGTTTTTTATAATTTCCATTATTTTTGTGAAATTTCTTATAATTTATATTATTTTTTTTCTTTTTTGTAATTTTTTGCAACTTCTATAATTTTTTTGCAATTTTTAATTTCTGTTTTCCATTTTTTATAATTTCTGTTTTTCTATGTTTTTATAAATTTTTATTTTCTTACTTGAAAATTACTTTTCTTGAATTTTGTTATTTTTTATTCTTCCAAAAGTTTTGTGTTGAAATGTAATCATTTTATTTTTTCAATTTAGGTATTTCTTTAAATTTCTACTTTTTAAAACAATGCTTTCATTTTTTTTTACAATTTTTCTGTTTTTATTAATACTTGCATTTTTCAATAATTTTTTAATATTTGTATTTTTGTTTGGATAAACTATTTGTATCTTTTGCAGCCATATTTCTGCATTTTTATATTTTGTGAATTA